CTGCAATCACAATGCAAGACATCCAGTGGTACTTTTTAAGTCAATGCTCTGAGTTAATACTGTAACTAAGATAGTCTTTGCGGATATCATATCAAGAGCGCAGCAATGACGGAGTTTGTATCTGGACAGCTCTCTTGTCGTCATCGAATTGATTGGTAGCTGGTCTTCTCCCCCAGTCTCCACATCCTATCTTGGTGTAAGTCGAAGCCACGAAGATCTTCTCTACCAAATAGGATTCAGGAACATGCCAACGACAACGACAACGACAACGTAAATAGTCAAAGTATTCTTGATATGGCGATATTCTAGAAAAAAACATATTTAAAAATACCCAAGAGATTGTCTCGAAGTTGTGAAACGCCATAAATGCCGAGTAAATATCGCCTAACTCCTGGCAACGCCGAGCTGGAAATGCCGAAATCACCTGTATGACACGATCACGTCCTCGAAGCACCAGGAACACTGTCGTTCTCGCTCCAAACTTCCTTGCTTTCCTGTTCAACAGCCCTCATGGCCACTGCGACATCTTCAAGCCGAGTTACAACGTCGATCACTCCTTGATTGACTCTCTGAAAATATCGATCATTGGCTTCTCGTCGTTTTCTTGCGAGGAGGATATCCACTTCCGTCTCTTCCTCGAGCTTGTGACCGAGTCTCTCAACTCCTGTGCCGCTACTGTTGGGTCGTGATATACTGCTGCTTCCGACGGCACTCTTCTCTGTGCCATCAGGTCCAGACTTGGAGGTATCGCCGAGCGCACCCTTCATGTTTCGGACTTCAGATCCAGTTACAGACCCCACAGTTTCGAGCTGGGCTGTGTCTATAACATCATCTGCTTCACTTCTGGCCCATGCTTGAGCAAGGGCAATTTGAGCGGCTCTCAGGTCAGCCAGCTTGCGGTCATGATCTGGGCCAAACACGTGAGTGCCCCCAGAAGCTGAGAGCTCGACTTCTTCCAATGTTGCTTGCATTTCGGACCATAAGAGGTCAGTACGGTCACCTGTCGCGCGTGTGCTCTCTGCTGGAAATAGTCCAGCTCGGTGATGAGAGGCCACAGCCCCGGATCGTCCAGATCTAACAGATGGAGCACGTTCGGCGTTAGGCCGCAAGTTTGACTGTCCTATGAAAGGGACGGTTGGTGGTGGTGCATTTGATAAGGAGACATTTGATGCTGATGGAGATGGATGAAGGAATAAAGAGGGAGGAGGATCTCGTTGCCGGCTCAGCGGTCGTGTTAGATGAGACATAATGACCTAGGAGACCTCTCGACTGGCTGGTAATAATATGTACAATAAGAACAATACAGTTTGCTTCATTCCAGACCGATATCAATTGAGCGTTGATGCACTTGGCGCTAATGCTGAGGGGGTTGGAAACAGTGTAAAGAGCGTTGATGAGTCCAGTTATTACTGTGCGACCCGCAACTCGAAGTTCCATTGATGAACGATCAGTCCACAACCTAACTCATCGCAGAGTTTATGTGGGGCAGTACTTGGCACCACGTGATCTCTCGCCTGCCTCTTGTGCACACAGGTCGCACCTTCTTCCTAGGGCCACCAAACCCTACCTGGAATTTTCGTTGGTCGTTCCTTTCCCAAGTTTTCGTCGCCTCCGCAAATTACCATCACCATCCCGTCGTCGATACACAGACAGATCCGGTAGGTACTAGCCATCCAACCCAACACAAATACATCCCCTCAGCTCTGCACGCTGGCGCTCGAGTTTTTCGAATCGACAATCGACTAACGACTTTCTCTGAAGCAAAAATGGCTGGAGGCAAACCCCGTGGTCTTAACGCCGCCCGCAAGCTGCGAACGAACCGAAAGGACCAGAAATGGGCCGATCTCGCCTACAAGAAGCGTGCCCTCGGTACCGCCTATAAGTCCTCTCCCTTCGGTGGTTCCTCACACGCCAAGGGCATCGTCCTCGAGAAGGTCGGTGTCGAGGCCAAGCAGCCCAACTCCGCTATCCGAAAGTGTGTCCGTGTTCAGCTCATCAAGAACGGAAAGAAGGTCACTGCCTTCGGTACGACGAACCCCAGATGCTACGAGAGATGAAGGATCGGTCCAACTAACATTGATCTCTAGTCCCCAATGACGGTTGCTTGAACTTCGTGGACGAGAACGACGAGGTCCTCCTGGCTGGTTTCGGTCGCAAGGGCAAGGCCAAGGGTGATATTCCCGGTGTTCGATTCAAGGTCGTCAAGGTCTCTGGTGTCGGTCTGCTCGCTCTGTGGAAGGAGAAGAAGGAGAAGCCCCGTTCTTAAGCGAAGGGCTCGCGGATGGAAACAAAGTCATATTTCGACACGTGGAGTCTATTCGGATTGCTTGCATCGGCATTACTGGTTAGGGATCTGATCATGGGAGACGAGGTCTGAAAAAAGGGAAAATAGATCACAAAGTCTTCGACGAACAAAACAACGATGTGCACGCCGCGTGAGGTGGAATCTTTGGGGTCTGAACCCATATCTCCGTATATGATGACATTATCGTACAATTGTTTTACACATGCTTCATTACCTTCCGGCATTCAGTTTTCTGACTTGGTGTCGTCCTCAGGTCCCTGGACATATCTGAGAGTGTAGTCCGCGGCTAGGCCCAGGCTGATCACGCCACCGGTGATCCAGCACCCGTTGATGAACCACCACCAACAATCCTTGACAACTTTGAGATTGACTCGCTTGATCATAATACCAAGCGTGACCATAGCTCCTCCACAGCTCCCAACAAAGAACGCCGGACCAGCACCGGCTGCAAATCCGGCCGCAGCCAAAAGAGAGATCTGTACAGCAGCCAAGCCAGTCAGCACCTGCTTTGTCTCAGCATCATGCTTCAGTGCAATACTCTTGATTCCAGCCTTCACGTCGTCCTTAATGTCCATATGAGCATAGATCATGTCGTATAATATTGTCCATGCAATATTTGAAGCATATAGGCAGGCTGCAGCAGTCAAGGCTGGGGTATGTGACAGCAGGTCGATTCCAAGAGCCGGGAAACCCATAATAGCGCCCCACGAGAAGGTGAGGCCGAGAACTGCTTGAGGGTAATAAGTAACTCTCTTGGCCAAAGGATAGCTGGCTACCAGGAGCAAGCTGGGGACGCCGTAAAAGAGGCAAGGCAAGGGAAATTGGAGCAATATCCCAAGTCCGGCAAACAGCTGAACCCCAGTGTAGACAAGACCCTTGAACGGTGTGATCGCACCACGAGCAATCGGTCTGAGTCGAGTTCTTGAGACATGAGGATCGAGGTTGCGGTCCCATAGATCATTGATAGTACATCCAGCACCTCTCATGATGAGAGCTCCAGAGAAGAAAAGGAGTGATGTTCCAATTACAGAGCCTGGAGTCGCCATTGGCATAGCCATTGGGGCAGCCATGAGAGTAGAAAACAGACATGGGAAGAATAGATAATAGGTTCCAGCAGGCTTGTCAAGTCGAATCAGCTCAGCATAAGGAACCCATGAGGCTGGGAGTTTCGACAACAGTCCTGTCTCAGGTGGTTTGTAGGGTGATGGTGCCGTCGGAGCTGATGGTGAGTCCAAATCCTGGGTGGCCAGGGGCAAAGGTCGAGGTTTGGCCTCGTGAAACCCAACTACTCGCTGATTATTATGCCATGGTTGCCTCAAGCCCTTGAAAGCACGAATGAGCGAAGGCCGTGTCTGTAGTTGTCTTGGTACTTTCAGAGCACGATCTGAGATTCCTCGACATTGAGCCCAGACCGAAGCCCGGGGGAGCGCACTTAATCTCATGAGATACACAGTCTACAGTCCTACTAGGATCATGAGAATTCGAACTATGAATAAAGATTTCGTATTTAACTTACTACGAAGCTCTTTAGAACAGCTTTGGTCACGTCAGACCACAATGGCAGCGCACCAGAGTTCAAACCGGAAATTCTCGATCCAAAAATATGAATCTGATAAACTTTAGGATCCTTGTCACCCAAAGCTCACCTATCAGTGGAGCGAACTGGCTGAGCTTATTAGCGCGAGATCGGCAAGTGGTGCATCACGTGCACGTAGACCGGTTCTCAGTTTCTGCGTAAGCATCTTTGATTGGTTGCGCATTGTACAATCCAACGCCTAAGCTTCCGACGCGCCTTCATCCATTCGCCTAGGATTTGTAACCTCCCCCAAAAGAACTATCGTCGTTTACGGTATCATTGTCGCTATTTTCCTACTGAATGGGGGCGATTTGCGAAACGAACGGCCTTTCGGCCTGATCTCGCACATTACGGATTTTCGAGACTTGCCTTTCTTTGCGACCAACGATCTCCCTTTCTCGAGCGAAACCCCACTACAGTTTCGCCCGTATCATTCTCGAAGCTCGACAAGATGCCGACTTCGCTGCACCCGCAGGCCAAATTCGATCCTATCCCGCCTGATCTGGACTTGTATGGCTTGGTCGACAAGACTCCGAATTTCAAGTGGGTTCAGCGCGTATCAAGAACCCAAATACGCAATCTTGGACAACAGGAGTTTGAGAAGCTGGTGTTAATTCACGTCATCGCTGGCGGTAAACCCCTGGTCATTGATGGATGGGATGGTGTTCTACCAAAGGGGCTTTTCGATGTCCGCTGGCTGGAGGAGACGTACGATAAGCAACGTAGGTCAATCTTCTCCAGATGACCATCGAAGCATACTAACCCTAGGTTGATCAGAGGAGAATGTGAGAGACATCAATGCGGGTTCGGATATTCCTATGACGATGGGACATTACCTACGATCAATGCGACAACTGGCGAATCAATGGACACCTACAAATTTCAGAGACGAGCGCCGTCAGCGCCTTTACTTGAAAGATATAGACTGCCCTCCTG